AAAGAGTTTTTATTTCACCCGTACAACGGACGGGTACTACAACTAGTGTTATATAAACAAGAAAGTAAGTTAGGGGTTAATAGCTGAGAAAGAGGGGACTTGTTACCTACCAGAAAACTAAGACAAAACAACAAAAAAAAAAACAGCAAATGCATCCGTGCGGTATTTTCTTCGTTGGCTTCACGAGGATAGCGGGACGTCGTGTATGTGCGCCATTCATCATGCACGTCTACTGCGAGACAATAAACATCCCTCTGCTTCGGCACCGATTTTATATAGTCAAAATGAAAATGTCTGCCAAACATGATTATTATAAAATTCATCTTTGGAAGTCCAGCTAAGTTCCTCTACCAAATTTCATCAAAATTAGTTTAGCCAGTTCCTTATAACGACTTGTGACGTCATACACCGGACAGGCAGACGGACAACTGAACATTTATCTATTTATAATAATAATCAGTTTTTGTCTGTCCTGAAAATGCGCGCACATCTTACAATCAAAATGTGCACGCATGCGCACTTCATTTCAACGAATGTAAAAATAATTTAGTTGACATTTTGTACAACAACATATTAAAAGCTTAAAGTTTTTATAAAAGTCTAACGTTAGGTCGTAGAATAACATTAAAATTATAAGTTTAATAATTCATAGTATTAAGTACGGTAAAGTTTAGCCCTAAGTAAACTAAAGCAAAAAATGTACACAAGTTACAGTGTTAATTTATCTTTTTATCGAATATAGGCTTAACAAATGTTAGGCCTAAGACAAATAGACTTATAGATTTCAGTGTCTGAGACTAGAAAACTCTTGCATTATTCTAGAAATCCCTTATTTAAATAATTACTGTTGCATTAAAAGATACTAATGTATTGTGGGTCTCTGCTAGTGTACATTCATGTACATTCCACTATAGTTTAACTTCCTTTTTTTTTGCTTCAGTTGTTGTTTTAGGTTTATCGCTTCTCTCGGTATTTCCTTAACATTTACCTGTTTAGGTAAAAGTGGGATTCCACATTAAGCTGTATGACTCAATCTCTTACGCTCAAGAAAAATCCTGAACTTGTTTGTTGTTAAGCGCAGTTACACAATGGGCTATCCGTGTTCTGCCCACCACGGGTATAAAAACCCGATTTTTAACGTTTTGAGCCCTCAGACTTCCCACTGAGCCACCGGTTGGAGTAGGGGGATGTTCCTGAGCTATACACTTGGGAGTGACTCACTGGTAAAATACGTTTTATGACAAACATAAATCTTTTGATGTCAAAAATGTTTCTCACACACGTTTTCCTTCCGAATTGCTCAGAATGGGTTGGTAGAAAAAATTTTATTGACTTATTGTCGTACATAAATACTTTAGCTTATAATGGGGCAAAATGTGTGTTGAATCATAACATGCATACAACACAAGATAAAACCAAACTCGGACAACACGCAGGAAGAGATTAGGTAAACAAAAAATGGCTAAAATCTCCATGGAAGTATGAAGGACTTGGTCAACTTAAAATAAGACGTACGCTATCATCGTCCATCAAAATCAGGCCCAACAGCACCAGGTTTGAAACAGACAAAATATATAAAATCATAAAATATATATATGTCTCTACCTAATAAGACCCTTGTGTTGTGTTGTTAAAATATAAAGGTCTATAACTAATGAATTCATTTAACACTCATTAGTCTGTTAAAACATAAAGGTCTCTAATAAATCCCATTAAAATTCCCCAGCATGTTAAAATATAAAGGTCTCTAATAAATCCCTTTAAAATTCACCAGCCTGTTAAAATATAAAGGTCTGTAATAAATCCCTTTAAAATTCACCAGCCTGTTAAATTATAAGTCTCTAATAAATCACTTTAAAATTCACCAGCCTGTTAAATTATAAGTCTCTAATAAATCACTTTAAAATTCTCCAGCCTGTTAAAACAAAGGTCTCTAATAAATCCCTTTAAAATTCACCAACATGTTAAAACATAAAGCTCCGTATATATTATACAGAAACTATAAAACAACTATTTATAAAATATTAAAATGCAAAGGTTTATGTGGGCTGGGTGTGGCCTAATGATTAAAGGTTCAATCCTACTATTCAGTCGGGTAACAGTAGCCCAAAAGTGGCGGTGGGTGCTTTTGATTAGCTGCCTTCCCTCCAGTCTATCAGTCCAAATTAGGGTTAACTGTGGAGATAGCTTTTTTTGTGTAGCTTTGTGTGGAAATTCTGAGACAAATAAATGTCCATATCGTAATCGTAATTCTCTCTAACTGCTAAAGTACACTCAGGTTCACGTTTGCGCAGAAATGACAAGATAATAACAAGATTTTCAAACAAGCAGGTTCACACATAGTACCTTGTAACATGCTTCGATACGCTCCATCGGTAACAGCGAAGATGTGGGGAGGAACTTCGTGTCTTTTCTTGCCCTTGTACAGATCAATCACTTTCTCTGTGTAGATCGGGAGCTTCTTGTAAGGGTTTACAACCACACAGAACAAGCCAGAGTAAGTCTAGAACAAAAAAAAAACATTGTTAATTCATAAATTTCATCTCTTGCCACGCGTAAAAATAAAATACAAGTAGAATTTGCTTTAATTGATATTCCAAATCCTCTTGATATATGCATCAGAAAATTATGTTCAAGGAAATGAATTATTTAGAAACCGTGCGTACAATACGAATACCTTTCTTAAAAATCACCTTTGCCCTTACAAAAGCAAATAGTAAATGTATACAAGAAATTTAAAATACTGGAAATGGGCATGGTTACAGTTTATTTATACAATCTTTGTGTCGCACTATTACCGCGTGAAATCGTGAAAAGAATCACGAAAGGTGTTGTGATTTCCTCCAGGATATGTATAATATATTTTCTTATCACGCGAAAACTGGAAAAAAAAACAAGCTGTGAGAACTTAAAGGCCTAGCATGGTCTGCAGGTCGCGGGTTTGAATCCTATTACCGAACAAGTTCGTCTTTCAAGCTGTAGTGACGTTATAATATGACGGTGGTATGTTCGGAGTCAGTAAGTATGCAAAAAAGGAAGAAATGCAATTAAAGAGGCCAATATTCACGGGCGAATGAAACATGGCCAATTTTGACACCAGAAAGACAGTGAAAAACATAGAAAAATCGAAAACTGTCTATATCACTCGTTGGGACTACTAGCAAGAAGGTATCTTTGTACCAAATCCCATATAAGTTGATTGATGTACACATGAATAGTTCACGAAAATCCCAAATTATGCTTTCCTCGCTGAAAAATTGAGCAAAAGACAAAAAAAAAAAGGTACTTTTTACCAAATTACGTGTAAATTGGCCGAAATACGGCGGATTGTCAAAAATCTCATAATTATGCTTTTTGTGGCATCTTGACCCCCCCCCCCATAATTATTAAAAATGGGTAAGTCTACCATTTTTGCTTGTCAATATGTGGGACCTGTACAAAAGAATCTTTATACCAAATCCCATATAAACTTGTCAAAATACGGCCTAATAATTAACCAAAAACCCTAAAATTATGCATTTTTGTGAGTTCTAACCCCTTCCCCGCTAAAAAGACTCAAAATAGCCAAATACAACTTTTTTTTTATGTAAATGTGTTGGGCTTATGAAAATATATATTTGTGTTAATTTTTATTTTGGTTGCTGTAAGTATGACCGCACAGGAGTTCAAAATATGTTTTTGGGTTCTTTGGACTCCCATAAAATCCTTAAAAAGGCTTAAACCAAAAACAAAAATTAAAACGAAGACTGGGCGTCCTGGATCAAAGTATAACCCTGCCAAGTTTTAAGTCAATCTGCAGAAAATTGAATAATGGCTGTCGACTGAAGTGTTTGGACGAAGACGAAATAATCGGAAAACGGTACGTCTCTTAGCGGAGCCATAATTACTTAATCTGGAGAATTGTGTATCTCACTTGAGTTCATTTTTACCAAGATATCTTTGACGACCTTTGCTATAAACCTGAATTAAAATTGAGACATGAAGAGTCTATAGTATTTTCGGTGCTACTATAGTAACGAGCTGGAGTTGGTCTACCCACGTAGAATATAAAATGGGGGAATCACGAAGACAAAAATTAGTATCGTTCTAGAGTTCAAGTTAAGAACATCAGTGTCGAAAAAAAGTTATTGTTCGTATAATGATGATTTATTTCTAAAATTATGTAAAATGTCACATTGTATATCACCAAAGCATGTGATGTAAAATTGTGACATGTAATATTCAAAGTGTACATCGTTTACTCAATAAATTGTTTAGCACATAATTTTATTTTACTTATATCAGAAAAATAGACCGCACGCTATAGTGTGAATATCCCGGTAGATCGCATACTATAGTGTAAACATCCCGGTAAACCGCATATTATAGTGTGAATATCCCGGTAGAACAGCACTCTATAATGTAAACATCCCGGTAGACCGCAAACTATAGCGTGAACATCCCGGTAGACCGCAAACTATAGCGTGAACATCCCGGTAGACCGCACACTATAGTGTGAATATCCCGGTAGACCGCAAACTATAGTGTGAATATCCCGGTAGCCCGCATACTATAGTAGCACCGTATTTTCCATACTCAAATATAAACAGACATGAACTGCATGGCTCACACCACTGCAGCCTTCGTACTAAGATATTACAGACACAAATGATCGAACAGCTTTTCCTGTAGACTTGGTTAACCTTTGACCTCGGTCTACTAAAACGGAATTGCTTCCTCACTTCCTGCCAAGTTTGTTAAAGTTCTTTATTTATACATCTCGAGTATTTGTATACACAGAGTACTAAATGACAATTAAAAGAAATTAACACTTAAATTCTCAACAATTCTATTCACGCCGATATCGCAGGGTAATGCCAATCTTTCACTAGTGTCCAATTGAATCACTGTTTCATACTTCAAAGAACGCCTTTCGCAATATAATAGAACTACAGATGTAAGCGACAACAATTCTATTCACGCCGATATCGCAGGGTAATGCCAATCTTTCACTAGTGTCCAATTGAATCAGTTTCATACTTCAGACAACGCCTTTCGCAATATAATAGAACTACAGAGCAGTGTTTATGTAAGCGACAACGAAATGGAGAAATACAGACAGTGACTCTAGCCATGTTGGCTGGCTGCACCGCTAAGTGTAACGTCAACAAAGAAATCCTACCCCACACCTACAACCAGACATATCCCCCCCCCCCCCACACACACACATTTTTTGGAGAAAGGTACATATTGAAGCCAATTATGTTAATACAAACTATTTCAGTCGGTACGCAGTGAGTTTAAAGGACGTACTGAGTACCGTACCGGCATACATTTGTTACATCAATTTATATACTTTCAATATAGAACTATGTTACAACTTCTAAAATATCTGCCATACTCATAAATTCTCGAACAACTTAAAAATCTCGGGGACGAAAAGGGGGGTCGTATACGTGAATGTGCTTGTATACTGCTGGTACACTGAGTACTGGAATAAAGTTTTCTAGAACTTTTCCCGCCAAAATTATGTGTTTAAAATGGAATTGAAATAATTAAGATACCAAAAGTAATCAAACACAGAGAATTTTTATATGTAAAGATGAACAACGATAATATTGGTGCAGTTTAGCTGAACATATCTGCTGTTAAGCCTTGCAGAGAAAGCCACAGCGTAATGTGATTAAGATAGAGGTATGGCAAAGATTACAAACATAGATAAATATATTTAAATAGGATAAAGTCAGGCTTATCAAGGCTTTTATCTTCGACATACTGCTAAACTGTTCATAGTTCGTCTCTTCTAAAGGTAACAAAGCGCGTGACACTTTGTGTAACGAATAATTTGGCTTTCCTCTAGAAGTATGAAATAGCTCAGTCACGTGACATCCCGTGTGTATTCTTGTACCTTCCTGAACAAATAGTTCCGTTACATTTTATGTAATATTTATCACCAAAATTTACGTAAAAAAACAAGTAATTATTATTCTTCAATAGTTTCGTGCTAATAGCAATGTTACGTGTAAATGTATACGTTTTGTGCATAAAAAAATTTCGTTAACTGAGAATGACTTTTTGTTGATTACTTCAAATTTATCAAAATGGTGATTAATTACTTCATCACTATATCAAAGCAATTTAAAGTGCACGGCATTTGATTTTTGCGCTAACCCTAATATACGTATAACAGTGTGATGCTAAATACGTGTACGTTGTTTTTTTTTTCATATATGATAATTATTTTTAATTATTATAAGTGACAATGTGTGAAAAGTTCTGTATTCTTCTCTTCTGCTTATAACAAAGATTTCAAACTGTTGTTTAACATATTAACAACACGACTTAAAGTAAACTATTAAGTTATAAACGTCATCTCCAGAGAACAATACGTACTTAATTGTCTGTGACTAATCCACGTGTTAAACGAGAAAACACTAACCTCACTAAAAGTGCTTATTATACAATAGCATTCCATTTAGATAACTACCATGAGGTGGCGCTTTTTGTCAGGTTTAACTTTTATGCCTACAATAAGTTTGTTTGAATTTGGCGCAAAGCTACACGAGGGCTATCTGCGCTAGCCGTCCCTAATTTAGCAGTGTAAGACTGGAGGGAAGTCAACTAGTTATCACCACCCACCGCCAACTCTTGGGCTACTCTTTTACCAACGAATAGTGGGATTGACCCACGGCTGAAAGCATGTTTGGTGGGACGGGGATTCGAACCCGCGACCCTCAGATTGCGAGTCGAGCGCCCTAACCACCTGGCCATGCCGGGCCTGCTACAATAAGTGAAGGTTAAATCCTATCTTCCTGTTGTATTTGTATTTCAAACTCGCGTTGGAATATTATAAGAACAATGCACTCGTAACTGTAAGTTACACTGAAACCACCAAAAAAGACATATGACAGGCAATTACACTTATTACACCTTGTTTTTAACTCGACACATAGAACTAATAATTTTAAAGCAAATGTTCAGTTAATATTTGTCATTAATCAAAACAAAAAATAAATAAAGTAGAGTGCACGACATTTACACTGATATCATACAATTTTGTGAATGATGGATATATTGTGATTTTTACTAAAATGTATGAATTTAGTTAAACCAATGTAATAATGCGCTATTACCCGATATCTGTTTTGCATAAAGTTTTTAAATTTTCTTTAATTGTTTCATTCGTCACTGTTTTAGTGTAATTTTACACAATGGGCTATCCGCGCTCCGGCCACCGCGGGGAATCGAATCTCGGATTTTGGCGTTGTAAGCCCACAAAATAACAGCTGACCCATTTTCCACAAACACTAACAGTTCCTAGTGAAGTTGTCTTATCTAATTTGAAATTCAGTGTGCCTACACCACTCACAAATAACGAACACACCACAAAATAATAAAATGGCAAAGTAAAAGTTTTTGGCCACCAAATCCTAATCTCCGTTGATATTGTTTTTCTGTTATTCGTATTTTTAAAAACAACAGGACAACACTGAACAAACCGACTTAGCCATTCTAGCCAAATGT